CACAAGTTCATTTGAGTCCCATCTTATTTCTCTAGATCAAGAAGCTATTCAGGGCATTCGATTTCACAGTAGATAACGTCACTGCTGCAGAATTTCTGTGTTATTCCAGCCACCTCGCTAACCTGAAGACGCAGCTGATCTTCTGTGCGGCGTCATCAACTGGTGGTGGTGGCGGTGATGCGAATCCGCCCCTCCCGGCTACCGTGAATCAGGCTGCTAGAGTGGAACAGCAGCGCGTGAGTTTTCGTTTACATCTGACACAACTTCGTCATGTTGTATTGCTCAATGATGTGCATGCACTCGCCTGAAGAAAAGCACTTCCCTGTGTAATGAATGAGGCAGGGAATTACACTTAAGAACGAGTGATAAGCTCTTTTCTAGCACCTGAGACGAATCGGTGTCACCGTGACAAGTCTCTTCCTTTCCTACTCGGTAGACTCGCGGCGCCTTGCTGACTCGGTCAGTTTTCCCGCAAATTGAACCCATGGCCCATATTCCACAACAATTTCTATCCTTTGTATGTGCCCTTGGCTTCAACGTGGGTGCTGCCACCTCGGGTGCCATCGGTGGCGCTGGATCTGTTTCCCAGGTTGCATCGGCCAACCCAGAGGTACCCCAAGGCATTCACTCTCCTTCTACATATTCACTCTTTTATCCATAGTTGATGTCTGCAGGAGATTTTTTCAAATCTGCTTTTCAATCATGCCACTTAAACCATCCCATGTCCCATTTCTCTTAGCACATGCTGCACAGTCTGCGTCTCTCAGCAGTGCAGGCGGCCTGCTTCGGCGATACGATGATGCACAACTCCCAACAGTGAGCTCGAGCATCAACGTTGATGAGTTAATTCAACAGACCGCTGTCTACGCACAGTCTTCAAGCCAATATGTAAGTAGTGGTGGTGTATTTCCAGGTCACGCGGCAGCTGCTGTGTCAGCCATGGCTATTTCGCACTCGGAACCGTTGATTCGCCAGCTCATCCTACCGCTATCGAGAAGGCAGTCATTTAACTCATCACGCCACTTTTTGAACGCTGTTGCCTCATCACCATGCCTACAGTGGAAACCGTGGTGAGAAG